GAGCCCTAACCCAGAGACCCAGCACAGAGCTCTAGCCCAGCGCCTTAGCCCAGAACCCTTGCCCAGATTTCTAGCCCAGAGGCCTAGCCTTAGCCCAGAGCCCTAGCACAAAGCCTTAGCCGAAAGTTTTAGCTTAGAGCCCTAGCCTAGAGTCCTAGCCCAGAGCCCTAGTCCAGAGCCCTAGCCCAGAGTCTTAGCCCAGAGTTCTAGTCTAGAGTCCTAGCCCAGAACCTCAGCCCGGAGCCCTAGCCTAAAATTCTAACTTGGAGGCATTAACGTAAAGCCTTAGCCCAGAACCCTATCGCACAGTCTTAGTTCACACCTTTAGTCCAAAGCCCTATAAGGGTGAAAAACAAGCCGGACTAGCCCCACTTTTCACAACCGTCCCGCAGGTCACGCCCAATGTCTAGGCCCGGCTCGTTTTCATTTTTATCTCCGGCCAGCCGGGCCTAGCTCGGGTTTTTTTACTAGCAAACGAGCTGGGCTTTTCGGCCAAGCTTTGAGTTTCAGGACCGGGCCGAGCTTTAATTTTCAAGACTAGCCTCGCCTAAATTTAGCTCAAGGCCAATCTTCCGGCCTAAATGTAGCGCGCGGCTTGTTATATTCCGTATTTTACCTCACTTTCTTTATTTTCAGCCCAAATGTAGACCAAAAATCGACCGTTTGCCATTTGTCGGGCCAATGACGAACTTGATTGGTTAAGAAACCTGAGATACGTAATGAAATTTCCTATTAAAAGTATTCGAATTCTTTTTCCAAATTTCCGACCATTTTATTACGATACATCTTTGTTTGCAGCTATATTATCATAGATACGTAAGTTTCGATTATTTGACCATTTCTTGTTTTGTAAAGAAAGTTTTTGCAATTTTTTGTTTTGTAAAGAAAGTTCTTGCAATTTCTCGTTTTGTAAAGAAAGTTCTTGTCTTTTTTTTTACCAAAAAGTAATTTTTTTTATTTTTAGGTAATTTTCTAAAATACGATTTGGTTGTAACGACTACAAAAATTGTTTTACCGTACTACAAATGACGATCTACCATATAAATTACTGTAACTTTTTAATTCTACAGTAGTAGATGAGCATTTTACGTTATCATCTACAGTATGACTTGTAGTTATTGTGGTCTGTTTTACAGATACAGTATGGCTTACAGTATGACATCATCAAAATGTATAACTAGTTCTTGCTTCGATATATTTTATAATATTTTGCATGATACAGTACGATCTACAGTACAAAACAAGGATATCCCAGTATTTATCGATCAAAAGACGGTAGCAATATATATACTACTATCGACTAAGTTACAATAACAACTATAATACCTTTATTGACCAAAATATGGTAAAAAATGCTATTATCGACCAAGTACGGTAACAATTTTCACCATCGACCGAATTTTGAACCAAAAATCGACCATCAGGTTCATGAGCCAATTGTATCAGCTGGAACTGCATTTCTTCGTTCTACAATATTATAGTTGATCAAGTGGCTTTTGAATGTACAACCAAGTCTATAGTTCGTATTTTACTTTTAAATCGATTTTTTTTAAAATTTTTTATACTTTTCTTACTGTAACGTATTTTAGGTATCTTATTTTAGTTTTTTCAAATTTTTTTTACTGTAACTTTTTTAAAACCAAATTTTTTGGACCTCGCCCAAGCCCTAGTGCTAGCCCTAGTCTTAGCCCTAGATTTTAGCCCCAGCTTTAGCCTCAGCTTTAGCTTAAACACTAGTCTAAACTCTAGATCCAACCCTGGCTCTAGCTCTCGCCTTGGCCTGGTCTATTTTTTAAATTTTCGAAATTTTTTTAAAATTTTGCCCGCAGCCCAAGAGCCAAATTCAAGAGTGCCCAGTTGTCCCGGTTTTGATCAAAAAATGCTGGAATGGACATCTACAGCACGGAAAACATATCATACTCAGTACTTTGTACTGGGCCTTTTTCTAATTTTTTGTAATTAAAAATTTTTTTTTTACTTTTACGTACGAAGAACGTATTTTACATTTTTTTAAATTTTTTTAAACTTTTTATAATTCTTTATCGTATTTTACTTTTTTTTAATTTTTAAAACTTTTTTAATAATTTTTAGTCGTATTTTACATTTTTTAATTTTTTTTTAATTTTAAATAATTTCTCATCGTATTTTACATTTTTAAATTTTTTTAAAATTTTTATTTTTTATAATTTTACAGATGAAGAGCGTATTTTACGTTTTTTTTTAATTTTTAAAAAATTTGTAATAATTTGTTGTCGTATTTTACATTTTTTTAAAAATTTTAGTAATGACCACAAACAAACCAGCACTTTTCTAGAGTGCCCAAAGCAAACTGTGATACTTGTATAGACTTTTTTTAAAATTTTTTAGATTTTTTTTTGAAATTTTTTAAAATTTTTTGATTTTATATGAATTGGTAAGAACTTCGTATTTTACCCATGGTTAGTTAAATTTTAAGCTTAAATGTTATTTTTAGCGTATATTTATATCAAATTCATATTTTTTAAATTAAAACGTGTTTTAGTCAATGTCTTGTAAGCCCCTTTTTCCTCGCCTCATACCTTTCTCCCACCCGCTCGCTACTCATATAGCAACTTTTTATTTTTAATCCTACCCTATCTTACCCTATCTTATCTTACTCTGTTCTTCCATATCATACCCTACCCTAGTTTATACTACCTTATCCTACATTACATTACCTTACGCCACCTCACCCGACTCCACCTCACCTTTTTTTCTCAAAACGAAAACAGCCTAAATAGCCAGGCGTGCCTTATATGTACAGTATATACGTAGTCTTGTTCATTTTTCTATTTTTGAGTATATTCTATTACATATCAATGTCAATCGAATTTTTAAAAATTTTTCTTATACCGAATGTTTTTATTCCCTTTTTTACTATTTTATGATGTTTTGATTGTAATATCAGTGGTTTTACCAGACCAACCAAACAGGTAACTTTTCAAATTGCTAAGCCGTTTTAACTGAAGATTTTTTAAAAAAGAACTGCTTTGATCTAGCTTTAAATTTAACCATAGCCGTAGGTCAAGCTCAAGGGTAGCTTTGGCTTTGGCTCTGGCTCTAGCTCTAGCTCTAGCCATAGCTCTAGCTCTAGCTCTAGCTCTAGCTCTAGCTCTAGCTCTAGCTCTAGCTCTAGCTCTAGCTCTAGCTCTAGCTCTAGCTTTAGCTCTAGCTCTAGCTCTGACTCTAGCTCTAGCTCTAGCTCTAGCTTTAGCTCTAGCTCTAGCTCTAGCTCTAGCTCTAGCTCTAGTTCTAGCTCTAGTTCTAGCTCTAGCTCTAGCACTAACTTTAGCCCTAGATCTAGCTCTAGCCCTAGCCTTAGATCTAACACTGGCAGGGCCGGGCGGGGACTTTTGGTCTGGGGGCGGGGGTCCAAAAAATCGGCACAGGACCTGTGCCGATTTTTTGCAAAATTTTTTTTCCGAAAATTTACAGGGACCACGTTCAACTTTTTACAAAAATTTTTTTTTCTGGGGAGGGGGGGGGGTACCCCCCCCGTCCCCCCCGTCCCCCCCCTCGCGTCCTGCCCTGAACACTGGCCCAAGCCCTATTTTTTAGCTTTAGTCCTAGTTTTGGCCTAAACTTTTTAGCTGGAGTAAAGGCTTGAATAATATAAGAAAGTTACCATATTGAACATATTGGTCTGATAAAACACTGATAACTATAAAATAAATAGTCTTCACACATATATTTATTATCGAAAACGTCATTTTTTATAACTTTTTAAAGATTTTACGTCTTTTGAGTACTATATCTTTTGTACTATCGAATTTTAAGTATACTGTAACTTTTTTTATTTTTTTTTTAAATTTCTTAAATTTTTTTTAATTTAAAAAATTTTTTTAAAATTTTTATAATTTTTTTAAATTTTTAAAATTTTTATTATATTCTATAACTAATATATTGTAGTATTGCCTTTTTCCTTTCCCTAACCTCATACACCCCCTCCTCTAATCAATCGTCTAAACGATCGACTGTGGCAAAGCTCGTCCCGAACAAGGTTGATTTTTGAAATATTTTTGAAATGTTTTGAGTCAACTTTGAAATTCACTTATTCTTCTTATTGTAGTCTTCAAGATTTGTCATATCACATAATCAGAGATCGATGTATTATTGTCTTAGTATCGTAATGTAAAATGAATGAAAGACCGAATAAAGCGAAGAACGCGAGATTGCTTGGCTGATTTTAATTTTGAAGTTACACATTACTTATCACAGACAATTAGATCTGAAAAAATGATGAAAAAGGACAGTAGGGTGTGTTAGGCTAAATTGAGTTAAAGTACAGTAGTGAAAAATAACGTAAAGTAAGATACAATAGGGAATAAAATGTTAGTTTAAAGAAAAGTCAGGTACAGTAGGGTAAAGAAGGGTAAGCCAATGTACACTAGAAAAGAATACGTTAGAGTAAGACAGAGTAAAGTACAGTAAGGTAAAGTAGAGTAGGGTAAGGTAAATTATATTAGGGTAGGGTACATTAGAGTACAGTAGGATAAAATAGGGCAAAGTACAGTAGAAAAGAAAAGGGTCAAGTAGAGTAGAGTGTAGTAAGGTAAAGTAAGGTAAAGTAAAGTACATTCGGTTATAGTAAGGTAGAGAAAAGTACAGCAGAGTGAAATAGAGTAAAGTAAGGTATGGTGTAAAAGAGTAGAGTAGAGTAAAGTACTGCAAGGTTAAGTAGTGTACAGTAATGTTAGTTAGGAACATTAGAATACAGTAGGAAACAGTAAAATGAAGTAGGGTAAGGCAAGGTAAGTAAAGGTAGAGTAAGATACAGTACAGTACATTAATCTGGAGTAGGATAGAGTACGGTAGGGTAGGGTAACATCAAAATAATATAAAAAAGTTTCGGTCAAAAAATAAATAACAAAAAGAAAAAAAAACCTTATAAAAAGTGAAATTTAGGCTTAAAAATAAAGTTTATTCTTAAAAATTAGTTTCAAATTTAAAAAGACATTCTAGGCTTATAAGTAATTTTAGGTTTAGAAGAGATTCTTGTCTTTATTAACAGCTGGAGTAGGATTCATGGAAGAGGTTGTTACTGCGCCAATTTTCTTTTTCTGAAGCCGTGCTTTGAATGTCTGATTCATTGTTAGGTATATAACTGGTGGGGCACCTGCATTTTAAAGTTTTTTTTCAGTTTTTGTCATACTATGTAGCTTTACATTTTAAAATAAAAGTACTATAATATGGACTTTAATGTACATATATACTTTACCCTATTTTACTACTCTGGCTTATCCTATGCAATTTTACTTGACACGGTAAACAATCTACTGTGTAACCACTACCCTACCAAAGCCTTTTCTATCATACCCTAGTACTGCAAATTTTAAAACGTATTTTTCATTTTAAACTCACCTTGCACGACCAACCAAAAGAAATGTGAAAGCACGATAAACCAAGTGGGCATTTGTAATATCTGCATCAAGACATAGCCTAATGCTCCAACTGACAAGAACATATTTATCGTGAATACGGTAATGAATAACTGAAAGTAAAAGATTATTCTAAACATCAGTGAAGAAAATTATAAAGTAATTCGTAATAAAGTAAGACAAAGTAAAGTAGAACAGAGTAAAACTAGACAGGCTAGAAAAGAGAAGCATGAAGTAGGGCAAAGTAAAGCAAGGCAGAGTGAAGTAGGGCATAGTAGTGTAGGGCATGATAAAGTAAGACAGAGTTGAGTAGGGCAGAATAGGGTAGGTCAGGGTTGCGTAGGATAGAGTGGATTCGACCAGGGTGGAGTAAGACCAGATAGAGCAAGGCAAGACTAAATAGGAAAAAAGTTGAGTAGAACAAGATGGTGTAAGGCATAGTGAAGTAGGCCAACATATTAAAAAAATCTCACATTTCTTTCCCTTTTTGATTGATTTTCCTTATTTGTCCGCAGGTTTTTGATGCACATGTAAAACATGATGTATAATGACGGTACTACCACTGCTACCATCAAGTTGTCTAGTAGGTGTAAGCCATTGAAGTACTGAAAACAAAAACTTTCATTAAGAAACTATGGTAAACCCAAGACTAGTGAGCATTAAGGCTAAGCTAAACTAACGCAAGGCTAAGATTAAGGTTAAAGTAGAGCCAGGGTAAGGCTACAATAAGGGCTAGTCTTGATTTAGGGTGGGACAAAGATAAAGGCTTGTCAAATACAAGGTAAGGCTAAGGTCTGGGTCAAAGTAGGGCTATAGTAAGCAACCATAAGGGCTAAAATAAGACTTACCGTTCGATTGACATCCTCAAAATACCCCATGTGAGGGTTGAAGAACCATCCACAAAACTGAGCGTTAAATATAACTGGCATACCGTATATTAACTGATGTATTGTGTAAACCATAGGCAACACATACCAAACATACTGCCAATTACCGGTGAACAGAAAGTTGGCTTGGGTGAAGCATAGGCAACGATTGAAGGCTAGGATCATGGCGTAGACGGAGTAACCCATCCATAAGGCTGTAACATTTACATATAGTAAGTTAAAAAACGGTATAGTACAGTAGGACAGGAAACAATACAGTAGGGTAGGATGCAATACAGTAAGGCAGAACAAAATACAGTAAGACAGGATAAAATACAGTAGGGTAGGGTAGGGTAGGGTAGGGTAGGGTAGGGTAGAGTAGAGTGCGGTACGGTACGGTACGGTACTTTACTTCACGTCACGACGCAATACAATACCATACGGTAAGACAAGATAAAATATCTAGACTGCTATATAATACTGTAACCACCTACCGTACAACCAAAGTCCCAAGAAGTATATTAACCTAGGGTATTCACAGAACACAGCCCCGGTATAACTCAAGTAAGCAGTGGCAAACGCCGTAACTGGCAATAGTAGAACGTCGTATATCGACAGTATTAACATAATACGGTAACAAAACTTATTTCGTAATTTTTTGTCAAATAAAACGTATATTACTGGTAGGTAAAGTAATTCTTCTACTATGCCAGTCAAAATATATATCACGGCAAAGAGGTAGGACCGTCGTCCTTCTACTGGCCATGAATCTGTATTGTAAAATGAACAGTTGTAGCGCTGTAGATAGTCATCGTGATGGTTGAAGTACAAGTCCATGGCTAAAAAGATAATTTTTAAAATTTTAAAAATTTTTTAAATTTTTTGTTTATTAAGCTTTATGCCCTTATATTAACAAAATACATTATGTCATAACATAAGGTGGTGTACAGTACTAGTAGAATTGTATTTTCAAGCAAAAACACAATTTTTTATATTTTAGGTGTTAATATATCAAGATGAAGATGAAAAGTACAATATATACATACTAAAGCGACAAATTTGAAAAAACCAAAAGTTGAAAAGTTCACAAAGCTGCCTGTGCCTTGCCTGTGCCTTGCCTGTGCCTTGCCTGTGCCTTGCCTGTGCTTGCCTGTGCCTTGCCTGTGCCTTGCCTGTGCCTTGCCTGTGCCTTGCCTGTGCCTTGCCTGTGCCTTGCCTGTGCCTTGCCTGTGCCTTGCCTGTGCCTTGCCTGTGCCTTGCCTGTGCCTTGCCTGTGCCTTGCCTGTGCCTTGCCTCATTTACTATCCTTTCCTGTTTGCTACCTTGCCATGATCTACCCTACCTTACTTTGTCACTACACATACCTTACCTTACTCTAATCCTTCTAGCCGTACCTTATCGTATCTTGCCATATGCTACACTACTTTGCCTTGTTTTGTTTATCAAGTATATTACGTATTTACCTTTGACAGCATATTGCTTTTATTCTTTGTTGTAGTTTCTTGTATAGAACCATTGTATTGACAAAATGCTAAAAAATATTTTTTATTTTTCTACAATTTTTTAAATTAATTTTAAAAGAATTAATGCCAATAAGCCTTTGTCTTGTTTTTAATCTAACAATTTAATATAATAATAACAAGCTACAACTTTACTGCCAATTTAATTCGAGCGCCAGAACTTAATTTTGCTTAATATTAGGTTAGGTTTTGCAAAATTTTGAGTTATTGCTTGAAACTAGGGCTAGAGCTAGAGCTAGGGCTGGGTTTAAAGGACTATTCTTTCGAATCTAAAATTAAAGTTGTTAATCTCTGTTTGTAATCATACTACAATACAATAAGGCACAGGCAAGGCACAGGCAAGGCACAGGCAAAGCACAGGCAAGGCACAGGCAAGCACAGGCAAGGCACAGGCAAGGCACAGGCAAGGCACAGGCAAGGCACAGGCAAGGCACAGGCAAGGCACAGGCAAGGCACAGGCAAGGCACAGGCAAGGCACAGGCAAGGCAAGGCAATACTCTGCTTTCCTTTCCTTTGTTCTTGCACAGCTTCTCACGAACATAAATCTAATATATAATGATATAATGACACAGTATTTTACCAGACAAAAATTATATTGTTCTAAGCATAACTTGTGAAGAAATGACATTTTTTACTAATGGAAAAGTGTATGTAACACCATACATCATTCCATAACTTATAAGATATAACAAACTACATTATGGCCTATAATGTAATTTCTGGTATTGTAAGTTAAAGCATATAATAATCGTTGTAGTAATATACTTGCTATATGTAATTAAGTGTTAAAGAAGACCTTAACACGCTTATGATATCCTGTTTGCACTGTCAACAAACAAAAACACGAAGCAGTAAAAAGTAATCGGCAATAACAATGTTTTACAATTGTTATTGCTATAATATATTATATTGTAGTATTAAACGTGTTTTAGTGACGTTTTTCAAAACAGTACAAAACGTTTGTTACTATTTTCAAACTAACACAATATAAAAAAAACCACGAATAGAAAATGCAAGTTACTGAAACTAGAACTAATGTAAAATTTAATTTACGATAGACCAAAAGTTATCAACTTTCTATAGTTTGCACTATACGTTTTTAAATATGATACGTGAAATTTGGTCTAGGATAACTCCTTCTAAGAAAATGAACCAAAATGTCTAAAAAATTAGGTCATTACACCTTTTTTGCTATATAAAAAAGGACAGTAAAAACGGGAAATATAAAATAATTTAATTTGTTTTATTGTTTCAATTCAAAGAACCTGGCCTATGTACAGTAAAATATGAGTTATTAGGCTCTATAGACCCTACGCTGCAGAAAGCACAATGAGTTCAATTTGTTTGTGGAGAAACATACTAAGCAAGGTAAAGCTATAAACAAGATAAAAAAAAACAAAGCGGATTAGGGTTACTGCTGAAGCTAAGGCTGGAGCTAGAACTAAAGCTAAGGCTGAAGCAGAGGCTCAGGCTCAGTCCCAAGCTGGGACTGAAGGCTGGGGATAAAGGTTAGACATTTTTAACTGCCCTATGTTTGCACACTTTAAATCTACTTACCGTGGAAAATACATTAAAACTTTCAGACAACTGACGATTACTAACTCATTTATCGTACTCAAACGTTTGTTTTCACCTGTTCGAAATAAGAATACATTACAGTTATGTGCATACTTTGAAACATAAAAAAAGGTTTCTAAGTTCATTTATTACACTTTTGGAGGCATGAAAAATGGAACACTATATTCTGCGTAAAACTTTACTCTAAACTCAGCCAAGCTCAGCCTTAAGCTATGCTTAAAGCTAGTCTGAAACCTAGACTAAAGCCATCTTCTTGTTTGACTAGAGAAAGCATTGCCTGTACTGTACACAGTTCACAAAGCCTACCTTCAAAGCCAAACGAACACTTTTAGTCTGAGGCGGGTGTTGAAGAAATCCACAAGGGGAACCACGTTAAACTTTTTCAAAATTTTCTTTCTGAAAGGGGCCCGGGTTTGTCTACCTTACTCCTTGATTCGGTTTTTTATACTACCCTCACTACAAGTTAAACCGTTGTTAATAAATATGTCATTAAGCCTCTCTGCCCTAGTTTTACAGTAATTCTGCTAACTTTGCCAGTGTTATATAGATTAATTTACCACCCAAACTAAGGGTAATCTGTCTGCATCTTAAGATGTAGCGGATAAGACAGAGTTCTTTTAATAATACTTTTAATGTCAATGTATAGGTAAATAACTTTGACTTTCTTGTCATCCTAAGCAGAGTTCCCACGGGCTCCGGAGCCAGAGCTCATTTTTGAAAATGGTCGGAGCCGGAGCTGGAGCCGAAGCCGCGTTTTTCTAGGATGGCTCCACATTTTAATTTTTATTATCGAGCAGTGTAAAAAGGTCTCGAAAAGAAAACTATCCACGGCCAATTCAAAAGGTTGGCATTGCGATAAAATAGTTTTTTGGACAAATTTTTGTGTTATTTTCAAATGGAAGCAAAAAAGCGCAGGAAGTTAGATGTTTCAAAATCGTTTGAAAAAGCGATGTGCAAGCAACTGTAATTGATGGTAAATGCAAATACTTTGGCAGCATTAACAGTACCCGCGGCTTCGGCAAATGTAGAGCAAATTCTTTAGCCGCCTTCAAGCTGTAACCGCCTCAAAGCTCTGCAACTCTCAGCATGCTTTAATCAGACAAAAAATGTTAATATCTTTTAATTCCCCATACACTGAATAAGTTACATGTACTTTTTTATTGTTTTAATAGTTAAAAATTGTTGTTGTATTAAATTTAGGAAAGGTAAAGCTTATTTTTGGTTGTTTTTGCGTTTTTTTATATAGAAATACAATTTTTATTGATTTTGTGCCCTCGGAGCCGGAGCTTGCAAAAATGTCGGCTCCGGAGCCCGGAGCCGGAGCTAAAATTTGATAATGGTTGGAGCCGGAGCTGGAACCGGAGCTAGGATTTATAAATTTGGAAACTCTGATCCTAAGCTTAGTATTAACATAAGCACTTACTGCGTAGTTTGTACTTTTTACTCATAGTCTATTATTAAACGACAGTAAATGTGAAAATATTTGCTGATAGTAAAACTCAGTAAAATTACTTGCATAATATATATAATTGTAGGGTACGGTGATAATTTACAATGACTAAAACAATCCTACTAAAGTCAAATTCGGCCCGGCTAAACGTGTAAACGAACCGAGCCGCACTTTAGACCCTTTAGTTCTAGCTCTAGCTCTCTCAAGCTCTAGCTCTAGCTCTAGCTCCAGCCCAAGCTCTAGCTCTAGCCCCAGCTCTGGCTCTAGCTCTAGCTCTAGCTCTAACGTTTGATTTAACCCTAGCTCCAACCCCGCCTTAACCTAGCGGTATCCCAGTCTTACATTAGCCCAAGCCCTATTCTAGTTCTTAGCCCTGAACCATCGTTAAACTAGCCTTATCTTACCACACTACTCTAGCCGTATCCTAGTCCGAAATAAAGGCTGTTTGATTACCTTTCCATCGCTACAGTCTTGCCTTGTCCTTGCCTTAACGTCCTTCTACATTAACCCTCATCACATTCAAATATACGTTATGTGTAATAGTTGTAAAAGTTTAAAATTGGACCCACACAACACGTTTTTGACACAACAATTTTTTGGTCATACTACATGTATATCTTGTATCATGTTAAACCTTGACTATAGTACAAAGACGACTACATATAACTAAATAAACACGTCTTTTTTTAGTTTTTAACTTGGTGAATTCTTGGTAAAATGGCAAAATTTGTAATATACAAATGACTGTTTCTTAATTTACACGTTATGTACATAACAGTAATGTTATTAAACTTAACCAAGCTGTATCGTAATTTGGTTCAAGTACGTGGGCTCAAAACTTGTGTTGTACAAAAGATAAGCAAAATTGAATTTACAAAATGTGTATAACAGTATAAACATTTAAACTCAACCCTACCGTAGCGTACTTTACCTACACTACCGCGTCTCATTCTAACGTCCGTATTTTACCCTAACGTACTTTATCTTACACTACCGTACCGTGGACTACCCTATCTTACCGTTTCTCACTTTACCGTACCATATCTTACCCTAATAAAATACGGTACGTTACCCTACCGTAACGTACCTTATTCCACGTTATAGTATCTTTCTCTACCCTACCCTACCCTACCCTACTCTACCCTACCCTACCCTATCCTACCCTACCCTAACCTACCCTACACAGTATCTTACGATACCCTACATTACCTTACTCTATCGCACCATATGTTACCCTACCGTACTTTATCTTACACTACCGTACTGTGAATTACCATTGCCTTAATGCTTCTTACATTACCGTACTATATATTACTCTACCGTGCCGTATATTAGCCTGCCGTACTGTATCTTACCCTACCGTATCTTGCCCTACAGTACTGCATCGTGTCTTGCAATGTAGCTTACCCTACCGCGCCATATCGTACCCCTATTTTGCCTTTTAAAAATTAATAATGAAGAACAATTTACAATGTAAAAATTTATTGATGGCACAGTAAAATTCAAAAAATACTAGACGACTGACAAATAATAATACAATTAGACCCTGAATGTTGAAAGAGTAACATATAACTGTTGACAATATATCATTTAAAAAAGATTTCTTTATATCAGTTTAAAGCTTCACGGAATATGGCAATGAAGAATAATACAATTAAGTATCAAAAAGTAAGTACTATATGTGACAAAATGGTACTTTTTAGCACTAGTGCTCTTACGTCGCAGTACTATATAATACGAAAGTGCTTACTGTATAGTACGTAATGCAATACTATATAGTATTAAAGTACTGCAAGTTCTGTACTAGCATACTATATAGCATTTGCTGTAGTACTATACAATACCAACATACTGTAAGCTCCGTACAACCGTACAAATGTATAGTAAATACAAGTATACTGTGTATTACGTACTAGCATACTATATGTTATTTTACTGACGTACTATATACTACGTAATGTAATAATATTATAAATTCCGAAATTTGGTATTTAAGAATCACCAAGACGTATTTTACCTAAAATTTTAAATAGTACTATAGTGCTAAATAGTACCAACTTGACACCTTACAACTACAACTACTTATATTACTTTACATAGGACGTCTGAGGTAAGCATTTCGATACAACGAATCCTGACGACGATTACTCTTCCAGAACTGGCATCGCAAGATACGAACGTAGGTTTTCAAGAATCGACCGTTACACGCGTAACAAATAGGGTTTATCTAAAAAGTGACAATGTTTTTGTTATATAGATCCATCATATGCTAGTATAACCTATTTTATATCTCTCGGTTAATAAATACCATTTTATACCAATATTTGGCTATTTCAGCAAAATTCATGTTTTCGTGGTAAGACCAAATAAAATTTTTTTTTGCGTAATCGGCAAAGTAAATGTTAAAACAAAAGTTATAATAGCCTATTTTACATTTTTAAACCAACAACTACCATTTTATATCACTATTTGGCTAGTTTAGCAAAATACATGTTTCGTGGTGGGACCCAAAGTCAAAAATGTTTTTTTTGCGTAAACGGCAAATCAATGTTAAGACAGAAGCCATGGTCTTTGATAAAGTTGCTAACCAAAAAATTTCAAAATCTGACCGAAGTTTCATTAAAAATGGCTCATACCGTTGAGTTAACATAACACAAACAATAACTGATGGTGAACAATATTTCCGGCACCGAATTGGGGTAGAATGCTTCCCAACACACAATCACATTGTACGGCGTCCAAGTGACGATGAATGCGAACAAAATCGCACTCAACGTTTTGGCAGCCTTGGATTCTTGACGTCGTTCGTTCTTTCGCCGTTCTTTCTCCGATTTTCGCTAAAATTTCGAAAATAAAAAAAATTTTAACACCAAAATTACAAAAACTAACTTTTAATTATTAACTTAACCATAACGTATTTACTTCCTTATTTTATAATTTTTTTCGCTATTTGTTGAATAAAGGTTCCATCGTATAAAATGACCTCGCAGCCTGCAATTTTCGAAAAAACATTCGGGCAAAACGGCCGTCTGCCAAATTATTTTAAAGCTTCAAAAAGGGCCTCTTTCGTTGATGAGAAGTAAGTTATTCATGTTGTTGACTTGCAAAAAGATCAGAATGTTATTTGTCTTATCAATTTTCACTTTTAAAAAGGTTTTTTTTAAAGGTTTTTTTTTTTTTTTAAATTTTCCACACTTTTTCGACAAAAACAACAGCTTTTGGACCTAAAATAATGTCTTTTGCCCTTGTTTCAGACCCAAAAACCTTCTTTAATCTCTTCTATACTCTTTAGAAGCTTTTACTTCAAGTATATTATGCTTCTTTACAGATAATCACTAATTTCATCAAGTAAATCAAGGGTATCAACCAACCAACCACAAAACATACCTGTTCTTCTCGATCCTTGGCCGACAACGCTCGCCCATTCTGTTGATCTTGTTTCTGATTCAGTTTTGTGCTTCCAGCGTGATGGAATGAAGCGCCATGGTTATTATCATGGCTTTGTCGTCGACCTTCGTCTAGGTTTGTTGAGGGAGCTTTTCGCGAAGACCTGGTCGAATTTATTGGTGTTTCAGTGCTGAAAATGGAAGAAATATAGTGTTTTAGGTATAAAAACGTAAGTTACTTTATTTGTTATTCTGATTTTAGGTATTAAACGACAATGAAAACGATGGGAATGTCATTTTCTGGTTGGGCCATGTCCATTTTTGATGTTTTAGCGTTTTTAGGTATCTAACAGCCATGGATAATATCGGAACAGCATTTATTTGATTTGTTCATGCAAGTTTTTTGAAGTTTTAGTTATTTTAGGTACCTAACAGCAAAAAGCAAGGTAATATTTTATTGTTTACGCGTTTCTCTGGTATTTTTGGATTTTAGGTAACAATTTACGGAAAATTTGATTTTTAGGTATTTTTTGGGTTTTTCATTAAAACATGGATGTTTATATCAAAGTGGAGTTTAAATATCTAAAAGGTAAGCTTTTGTTATAAAATTTAGGTTTTTAGATAAGATTTTAGGTAAGAACTTCAAAATCTCCAATTTCATCGCCATAGCATATTCACCATCAGCTAACCCCTAAAAACCTACTTAAATCCATCGGAATCGCAACTGGATAGTCTGACTGATGGTCGTTTGCTTTCTCCGTCTTTATATTCAATCAACACGGTGTAGGTATGAAGGATTGGAACAGTGTTGGACTGTGAAACAGTGTGAGTAAGAGCAGTGTGATTGTTGGAATGGGTTTCGGTTTGAGTTCTCGACCGGAATTTGGCACTGCCACTTCGATTGTTAGTTGGTGTGATTGGTGTTCCGTCTGTTGAGGCTATTTCCTAAAGTTTTAGGTAAAATACGTTTGTTTATTTATTCTTAGTATAAAAATAAGTGTTATGAAGACAAGAGGGTTCAAGGATTAAAAAGGTACGTTATTTTTCGTTTTCTATTTACTTTTAGACCGGTTATTAGAATTTTTATACCCATTGAAACAAATAAGGAATAAAAAATCGACTTACTTCAATAGTTTTGCCACAAACCCAATCAGGACCGTTGGTTGGCACGTTGGTTTCGGAACTTTCTTCGGACGAAATTTCCGTTCCAGCTTTACCAACGCAGTAGCGAAGCCAGAAGAACTTGTCAGTGGATTTTCGACTGAAAAAGGTGCGGGTTTTTATATTATACTTGTGTTATAGGTACTGCGGGATATTAACCTTTATGTCATTCATCTTGGGAACTGATAAAGTCAACAAATCTGATACGTCTCCTATAACACCTACCGTGGCCGTCCAAACGTTACCGAGTCCATAAAAGGTAACATTTGTTTATTCCGTTTAATCGAATTCTGTTGTTTTACAGAATCCCTCAAGTCTTCATTGGTCGCTTCTTCAAACTGTCGTACTTGTCGTATCTAAAACCATCATTATCAATATGAACGAACAATGGCATGGTTAATATATTTAGTGCTCAAACAAAAAGCCTCGAAACACTGTTAGCAGAAATTAGCATAAATTAAAAAATAAAATAAAGTGCAAAGAAAGTTATGGCGTTACAATTGAAAATAATGCGAATTAGTGAATGTTACGGTACGATTAGTGGGTTACGGTACTAGACGAGTGGTACGAGTGCTGAATTTACTGAATATGAAATATTGTAATAACAGTGAGAACTACACACGATGGCTGTTGGGGAAAATGCTTTTGGGGTATGAGAAAGGTTGTCTAAAAAATTGGCAAGCCTACCAAGACTTCGTCTACTAAGCCTAAACTTGCTAAGCCTAAGCCTACCAAGATTAAGCTTACGAAGCTTAAGCGTACCAATCCTAAGTTTACGAAGCCTAAGCCTGCTAAGCGTAAGCTTATTAAATGTAAGCCCATTAAATTAAAAAAAAATTGAAATGAATTTAAAAATTTTCAAAAAAAAATAATTTTTCAATTCAGTGCCAACAGCATGAAAACAAAATTTGCGTGTGTGTGTGTGCATTAAAGAGAAAGCGCTGACCTCGCCGGCGAATTGACTAACCACCGTCACCGTATTTCGCCGTAGCTGATAGAAGCCGGCCAGCTAGACAGGAAAAAAAGCGATTAGCAATGCAATAAATAGTGTTTAGCATATTTTGTCATAAATGACTGAAATTTTAATGTTTTTGTTGCAAACCAAACATATTCAACAATAGGGACAGGCACTTTACGATAGATTTACAAGACAAATTGGCACAAGTGTTGAATTTTTTTGTGAATATGTGACGCGAACTTATGAAAGGCAGTGATAGAGAAGGTGACGGTATAGAAAGAGTGTAGGACTATTTTTTAAACGCGAAATGTTAAAAAAATGCTAATTTAAAGGAAGATCTATATATAGCACTAGCACGGCATAACAAAGGCACAGCACTAGCACGGCATTTAAAAACTCAAGCCAAAGGCGCTGTATCAACACAAAAACCAAAACAGCATACCACACAAAGAACAAAAAGTAAGAAAAACCTTAAAACATCCGCAACATTTGCTCCTTGGAACACTGTGTTGTCTCACATTCTCCATAAACGATCGAAGCGACGTGCGCGACAATCGCCGATCTAATGGCACGGTTGAGTCTTCGAAGACGCCTAACGCCGTGGCTTCGGACAAAAACGATTGTTGGGATATTTCGTGCTTAAAAAAAGAAAACGAAATAACATGAACACTTCAATGTGAAAAAAAATGAAAAAAATTGTACACGGGTTAGTTTGTTGAGGTAAATTAGGTCGAATATAGAGGAATGTAATGTGTTAGGTGTAATAATAATATTGAGTTGGCTTAGGTATACCACCGGGCTTGGCGGCAGGGCCGGGCACGGAGCTAAAATGTCCGGCATCAGGTAGGGCCGAGCACAGCCCTTCCTAATGTAAAGCACAAAAACAGCAGCAATTTGCCTTGCATAAGGCAGGGAACGGTGAATTTTTAATACCCTGCCCTGTTTGAAGCCCTGTGTATAACCTAAACAAAAATTATGTTAGTTATACTAAAATAGATTGCTATGTAAAGATTATTGTGTTACACGACAAATTGGTTTTAAATAAAAGAACGGCAGACTTATAGCTTATCAAAAGTGCTGTGATTAAGAAAGGGCGGTTTTTAGTGCTAAGAAAAGGTATTAAAAAAAATTAAGGTTTAGTTTATATGTTGCTATAAAGATAGAAATGATAGTGTGTTAGTTTTTGAGAAGTATTAATCAAGCTGGTTAGCGGTTAAAGCAATTTTTTTGATGTTATATTATAGTAGGTATATAGATTTCGGATTTAACAATTTGGAATTAAAGTTAGGTAAACTATTGGTATAAAAGTGCAATCTAAGAGTTTTAGACTTCCCACAGCATTAAAAATTTGTTAGAAAACTGTTTTAAGTTCTCCACAGCACGCTGTTAAAAAGTTGTTTTATCAGAAAAAAATTTGAAAAAGTTAGCATTGGGTTTAATTTTTCACACCCCTAACCTGATTTTTCCTTCGGATGGACATAATTCTATGTCGGAATGATGATGTAGCCTAAAGTAGACTTGTTATAGCATTTCATTTTTAAAAAAGAGTTATGAAAAATGTGTTACCACCACCGATAGAATGAATTGCTTAGAAAAATGGCTAGTAAGCCTGCATTTTGCCTGGAATTTTTAGCTTTAATCCTAAAAGATGCTTTTTCTCATTTAAGCTTAAAATGATGTTTCCTCTGATTTGAGTCTATACCTTTGAAAATTAAGCCTAAAATTCTAGCATCAAAAAATATTTTTTAAATTTTCATTTTTTGTGTTAAAATTAGTTGGTCACATCAAAAGCGATAGAAACAGGTAAATCGTGTTGTATACTTCGTTATGATACTTATATTTCAATACTCAAATGTATTGTGAGCAAAATAAACTTGCTTTACCGTGTTGAACTCAAAAATTAGTGCGCCAAACTTAAACCAAATTAAACTAAAAACGTCAATCCTCTACAGTCGAAAAAAGTAAACTTAAAATTACATGTACACACGCTGGGAAGAAGGGTCGTATCTTGATGGAAGGTATTATAATTGGCTTTTTTTTGTTTTGGAAAGGAAGTTCTTGCCATTTTTTGTTTTGTAAATAAAGTTCCTGCCATATATGTGTTCTGGAAAGAAAGTTTTTGCCATTTGATTTAGAAATAATTTTACGATTCTCTTTATGTTATAGTAGGTTTTTCAAGCGATGGCCAGTCTTTTTGTATCAAAAAATACACAGCAATGTGAAGATACGACCCTCCATCCCGCAATCAACCGCTAAACATTTATTTTTTTAGCTTATAATTTTAGTTCAGGCAGTTTTTATAAACAAACGGACCAGTGGTAACATGAGAGAATGTAACGCGGACGTGGCGCCGATTTGTGTTGGTGAAAACATCTGAAATGGAACGATAATGGACATAGAATAGCAGGGTAGTACAGGAGGGTAAAATACGAATGCCTTTTTTTGACAGGTTACTATGATAACACTAAAAATCACTATGGTATTGTTGAGTATTGTACTGTTTGTACTACCTCAGTACCGAAAAAAATTTACATTTGTTTTGTTACAATAAGGCTCAAACACTCAAAAATCCTACGTACTATTCAGTATAAATCGTAGGTATTGTTAAGTACTATTCAGTACGACTCTAAAAAATCATTTTCATAAAGCCCTACTCCTATATTCGATATGCAACACATAAAGCGCACAAAAATGCTGTGTGTAAGACATATTCAGACAACGGAGACGATTAAGACAAACCTTAAAACATATATTGTACATTTAAACATGTAAAAATGTTAATTTCAAAGTAAAAACTCGTATTACTAATGTTATGTTAAAATATTTTTTAAAAGTGATTTTAAGGCATAAAATACACTTAAATACACCGAAAAAATAATTTTACGCCTAAAAAATAAGCCTAAAATTTGATTTAAAAACAACAAATTTGATAACCATTTCTTGGTGCTATATAGCACGAGCGTGAAAAAACACTTTGGGCAACTGAAAATTTTCTTTGTGGTTTGTATGTTGGAGTAAAAACGTGTTACACACTGTGAAACATAGTGAAATTTGCTTTTTATTCATTCGTACTATATAGTACTATACTGGAATTTAAAAAAATTTAATTTTTTAAATAGGAAATTGTTTTATGTATAGCTTTGCTACTAAAAATAGGTTTTCTCTCGTACTATATAGCACCATGCTAAATTTTTTTTTGTAAAATACGTTTTGTTATTTTAGATTTTCTTTTCTCGACCTAAATTTAAAAAAAAATAATACTAAAAACCTGTTAAGCCTACCTGTCCAGCTTGAAGTTTTCGAAATTCGGCAGTTCGGCGCCGTGTCTCGCAGTAGACGCGATAATACAGGTATATCATGATTGTTACCGGTAAATAAAAAGCAAAGAAACAAGTGGCCACAGTGGCCATTTGAGAAGCCCAGCGGCCTTTGGCTCCTTGGGATAGGAATTGGACTACGCATGAGCCTGGCTCTACGTAGGTTTGACCTGAAATTTGAAGGGGTTGTGGATTAAAATGGTCATATCTTTTGGGCCGTTTTTGAAAATTAAGCTTATCTTTTGGCGTATGATAGAAAAATGTCATAATTTGTATGTAGTATATACAAGCTGGCATATTTTGGCCACCTATCTCCAAAAAATAAAAATTTTCACCAAACACCCTACCTTCGATAGCATTTTCAATGAGCGGCCACGTCAAAATCCAAGGCGGCCATAGGGCCATAGATATGGCGTAGGCCAAGAAAATGGCAAATAGCGCTTTTCGAGTCGTTCTGCGCGGTCGATAAGTTAACGGTCGAGTGATTGAAAAGTATCTATCGAAACTGATCAATAACAAGTTCAACACGGAGGCATTGCTCATTAAATAGTCGAGGCATAGCCAAAACTGGCACATATTCCAACCGATACCCCATGTACCCGTCGACGTGTAGTATGTCATCAGGGGAATCGATATTATGCCTGAAGGGGTAGTGTTTAAAATTGAAAAATTAAAAAAGGCAGGTCACGTAAAGTAGGTTAGAGAAGGTTAGGGCAGAGTAAGGTAAAGTAGGGAGGATAGGGTACGGTAAGGTATAATAGAGTAAAGTAAGGTAGAGTATGGTAGAGTAAGATAGGATAGTGTATGGTAGGGTCGACTACGGCAGATTAGGGTAAGATATGATACTTACCAATAGTAATATCGGCTATAGCTAACGAAAAAAGAAAGTAATTGCTGATTGTTTGGAGCTGTTTGTCAACTCTGATTGAGATCTGTAAAGAGCAGTCATATATCATAATTACCATTTTACGTTCAACTCAAAGTAACATTTTTGAAAAAGTTTTTAAAATATGCATTAAAAATGGCATTTTATAGCCATTAAGACTCACAGTAAGCTAAAAATCACGCTTTTTAACCAAAATTCTGCCTAAACGGCGAAAAATGAGTTTTATATTAGGTGCCGACATAAAGAACCCGCCAATTCCTTTCTTTTCTCCTGTAAAAAACAAGGGGTTTTTATGTCCGCACCTAATAAACAATAAAGAAAAGATGACTTACCATAACCATGAGATTACCTAAAGTTGTGGCGATGGCAAAAATGGTGCCGATTATTATGACTGGTACCATTCCGTATTCGGAGCCTGGTGCTATGGGCGGTGAGGGTGCTAAAGCCATAATTTAAACTTAAATTTACAACCAAGTAACATTTCACGTATTTTACCAACTTTTTAATTTTTGAATATGGATGTTTGTCTCGTATTTTAGAGTAAAGGCCTTCGTTTTTTTGAAAAAAATTATAATTTTTTCAAAAAAACCAAACTTACAGGTATAATTTACAGTAGGCGTCATTGTAGGTAGTGTGATTGGTTGAATTGGTGATGTAGTTGTGGTTGTTAGCATAGAAGACAGTACCTGAAATAGTCAAGGTTGAATCGCAAAATGGCATTCTTCCATAAAAATTTAAATAAACTAAGTAGGGTAGGTTTTTAAATAAAGTAAGTAGGGTAGGGTAAGGTGAGGTAAGATATGGTAAAAAAAATTTCGTTTTGATAAAATAATGAAAGGCAGAGTAAAAAAGGTAGGGCGGTTTAGGGTGAAACTAATTGGGAGGATCAAGTTGGGTAGAGAAAGGTGGGGGTAAGGTAGGGTAGGGCAAAGTATGGTGAACTTGGGTAGGGCACGGATGGATAAGCTAGGGTAGGGTAAATTAACATCTAATGTCTTACGAATGTACTCTAATATCCAGAGGTCAAAGATGTTTGAAAAAAATAAATTTAAGGTTTATGCATAATTTGCAGAAAATTTTTGAATTTTTAATTATCCGAACGGCTAAAAATGACATTTCGTCTTGTTCCTTATGCCTACCCACATCATGCAAATTGGGATAGGGATAGTGGTAGAGGTAGAGTATGGTAAGGTAGGGTTGGGTTGGGTAGGGTAGGGAAGGTAAGGTAAAGTAAGGTAGGGTCGGGAAGAGTAACTTAGGGCAGGGTATAGTAGAATTATCTGCCCTACTCTCATAATTCGCAACACTGTAACGTACTGTACATTATGCACTTTTAAAATCAAATCCTCACCTGCATAACCAAATTCAGCACCTTGGACTTGCGTTGTTGTTCGGAGCGCAGCGGCGCGTCCGCCAAACTCTCCGCACCGCCGAAGAACAGGCGTTTCGGCGCTTGCGGCCGCGATTCGAAGCCGCGCCACCCAGCCGATGGGCTTTGATGGTCGGCGGCGGCGTTGAGGAGCTGATCCAGGAACAGATCAGCAAGCTGCGCATCCTTCGACGACCAGCGCGCCACATCGTCGGCGCTCATCGGCGTGCGCTACAGCTTCGGGTTTTGGGCGCTGAAATTCGAAGTTTTAAGAAATTTTTAATTTTTTTTAATTTCATTTTTTAGATATTCAAAAACGAAAAATACTGTAAAATTCCTATATAACAAACCCCTGTATAACTTGTCGCTAGGAGACTTAAAATTGTTCGTTATACAAGGATTGGCACAGTAAATGTAAAACACGAAAGCAAAATGGAAATAAAAATTAAAAACAGCCCAAAAACGTCCACCTACTTAAAACCAGATCGTAAAGAAACATGAACATTCATAAACCCGAAATGTCGCCCACCCCCTGGGGCTCATATCCTACCAAATTCAAATAAAATCCCAAATCCAGCACAGCACTTCCTTCAGCATACTAATTTTTCGAGAACATTTTTAAAGGACTTCATTTTATCTTCAAAATTAAAATTTTTAAAATTTTAGTTTTAAAACATAGTCGCTTTTTGTAAAATACGCCTTACTTATCTTGGTTATACAGGGTGTCCCAAGATTTTATTTAAGCCTGTACATTAATTTCTATTTTTAAAATTTAATTTTTTAGGCTAAAAATTTTTTGAAGCAAAGGTTTGATTTCTAAGCCTAAAATTACACGTTTAAGCCTAAAGTTATTTTTTATAACTGAAATTCATTTTTAAGCCTAAATCTATTTTTAAGCCTGAATATCATATTTAAGACTAAACCTTCATTTATGAGCCTATAATTTCATTTCTAAGCCTAAAATCCATTTGTAAGCCTAAAAATTTATTTCTATGCCTAAAATTCATTTTTAAGCCTAAAAGTTTACTTCTAAGCCTAAAATTCATTTTTAAGCCTAATAACTCATATTTTATTTAGCTTAAAGTTTAAATTTTAAGCCGAAACTTCATTTTTAGACATAAAAGAATTCTAAATTTAAAAATCCATTTTCAAGCCTAAAATCTTTGTTCCATTCTTAATATTGAAGAAATGACCCACTTTTAAGTCCTAAACCATAAAAAAATGAAAAATATCATCTTAACACCTTGCCTGACTAAAAAAGTTTAAAATCAGCACAAACTCCTCCCGTGCTTTCTCTAAAAAAACTAAATACAAAGCTCCAAATTTCGAAAAAAAAGCTTTTGAACGTCAGCCAGCCCCAGCTCCTCCACTGATTTGAATATTAAAGAATGTTGAACAAAGTAAAGCTCTCTTCCTCATTATTGGCAATTTGCAGAAAGCAAATTGGGCCCAAAAAAAGTTTTTTTTTGCGTTCAAAGTGTTTCAAGACGTCTCCGAATGCTTTTCGACCCTTAACGACCACAAACACCCAAAACGCTTTGTTCTTCTGGTTTCAGGGAAGGTTTGACACTGAAAACATGACAATCAAATGTCATCAAATTTAGGGGAAAAGGTAAAGCATGTTGTTCTTTCAACCTGGTTTTTTAGGCTTAAAGCTGGCATGTTTGGCTTGAAAGTGAGTTTTAGGCTTCACAATGAAGTTTAGGCTTGAAAATGAATCTTAGGCTTAAAAATAAATTTTTGGTTCATGAATTAAACCTTAGGCTTCAAAATGAAATTTTTGTTTTAAACTGATATTTTAGGCTTAAAAATGAATTTTGGGCTTAGAAATTAATTTTAGAATTCAAAATGATATTTTAAGCTTAAAAATGCTATTTTAGGCTTGAGAATTGAATTTAGGCTTGAGTAAAAATTTTAGACGCAAAAAAAAATTTTAGACTATGGTAGTTTAGGCTTAGGAATTGAATTTAGACTTAAGAAAGCAACTTAGATTCAAAAATAAAATTTTAGGCTTAAATATGAAATTTTAATTTTAAACGTAGGCTTAAAAGTAAAGTTGAGGCATAAAAATGAAATTTTTTGGCTTAAAACGCTATTTAGGACTCAAAAATAAATTTTAGGCTAAAAAGTAAAATTTAAGCTTACAAATATATTTTTAAAATTAAATGGGACTTTAGGCTTAAAAAAGAAATGTAGGGCTTAAAAACGCAATTTAAAGACAAAATCCAGGCATATGACCTTTAGGCCTAAACAAAGCATTTTCAGAATTTGCAAAACATAAACTAGAAGATAATTCAATTCCTACTGACCCACGCCTAACTTCTAAAACTATATGGGATTGGCCGAGGAATCTCTGCCATAGTTTATTTATGCTTTGGTTTTGTTTCTGTTTGAGTTCATTTGCCAACAGAAAACAAACGGAAGCGATTTCTCGATAATCTCATTTTGTCCCAATTCGAAGCCTCAAATTACGCTAGAGGTCATGATATAGGGAAGGGGATTTGTGGTCTCTCGGTTACAATTGTTACCAGAGAACAAAAAATTTGGTTTTCTAATGAAAATTGTCAATATATTTCAAAAATATTGGCTTAAAAATGGACTTTAGGCTTATAAATTAATTTTAGGCTTAAAAATGAATTTAAGGCTTAAAAATGAATTTAAGGCTTATAAATGGATTTTAGGCTTATAAATGCGTTTTAGGCTTAAACATAAATTTTAAGCTTATAAATTAATTTTAGGCTTAAAAAATTATTTTTGGGCTTAAAAATTAATTTTAGGTTTAAAAATTGATTTTAGGCATAAAAAGTTATTTTTGGGATTATAAATGGATTTTAGGCTCAAAATTAAATTTTAAACCTAAATTTTTTTTTGCGATTACAAATGAATCTTAGGCTTAAAAATTAATTTTGGGCTTAAAAATGAACTTTAGACTTAAAAATAAATTTTAGCCTTAAAAAAGATTTCAAATTAAAAATAAATTTTAGGCTTATAAATGGAATGTATGCTTGAAAACTGAAGATTTAAGCTTAAAAATTGGCTGATTTAGTTCTGCACTAGGCTTTCCCTAACCTTGCTCTGTACTACTCCAAGTTTTACACTAGCTGTACCCTACTAAAATTCCCTCCCCTAACTCACTTGCCTATCTTTCAGCTCTACCTCATTCCCCTCCCAACAACATTGCCTATCTCCCAACTCTACCACACGCCCCTCCCAACAAAGTAGCCTATCTTGCACTATTAAAACACAAAAAAACTTGGCAAAGAATCCCGAGTTCAAAAGCGTTCAAAATTTGTTTCGCGACAAAACCTCAAAATTGCTTTAGGCGGAAAAGTTTACGAATAAGGAAGAACACTTTATTAAAAACGTCTAATTTCGATTATATTTTTTCTTTCGAAAAAAGACGAATAGTACACAGCAAACTGAAAATGACAACCGCGGCTCGTTATGTTTGGCTCTAGGGCATGTATAATATAATGGTGGGGGTGGTGTGGCAAAAGTTTTGTAAAATACGAGGTACGCATATTTTAAAAAATAATTTTCAAATATTCTTTTAAAAAATTTTAAAGCCTAAAATGTCATTTTTGAGCCTAAAAATTTTTTTTTAAGCCTAAAATTTTATTCTTAAGCCTTAAATTCATTTTTAAGCCTAAAATTTTGTTCTTAAGCCTTAAATTCATTTTTAAGCCTAAAATTTTGTTCTTAAGCCTTAAATTCATTTTTAAGCCTAAAATTTTGTTTTTAAGTTTAAATTTTCATTTTTAACCCTAAAATGAAATTTTAAGCCTAAAATTCATTTTTAAGCCTAAAATATTATTTTTAAGCCTGAAATTCATTTTTAAGCCTAAATTTTAATTTTTAAGCCTAAAATTTCAGTTTTAAACCTACAAGTTCATTTATATGCCTAAAACTCATTTTAAGCTTAAAAACCATTTTTAAGCCTACCCAACCCCACCTTTCCTTGTAATTAACCCTAGCCCTTACTTACCCTACCTTCGCTACACCCTTACCCTATCCCTCTAAAATTGCCTCAAACACATCGAAACTCCACATTCAGGATGTGCCATTCAATTCACAGGCAAAAATATAGAATGTCCTTCCAACATTGTTACCTACATTTCTCACCTATTAAAATACACAGCCCTTTTTTTAATCGGGGGCGGGTTAAATCGCTGTGTTAGAAACGGTTCGTTTCAACGTTTTACCATTTACATAAATAATATATTAACCTTTTTTAGGAATTTTAATGCGAACGGTAAAACGTCAAAATGCAGCATTATGAAGTGAATTTAAAAATGAATTATAGGCTTAAAAATGGACTTTAGGCTTTAAAAATGATTTTTAAAATTAAAAACCAAAGTTGGGGCTTAAATATGAAAGTTCGGCTTGAAAACGAAAGTTTAGGTCTAAAAATTACAGTTTAAGCTTAAAAGTAAATTTTTAGGCTTAAAAATGAAAGTTTAGGCATAAAAACAAATTTTAGGCTTAAAAATACATTTTAGACTTAAAATAGCTTTTAGGCTTAAAAAATGAATTTTAGGCTTAAAAAATAGATTTTAGGCTTAAAAATGAAAGTTTAGGCTTGAAAACAAATTTTAGGCTTACAAGTGAATTTTAGGCTTAAAAACGAAAGTTTAGGCGTTTAAACGAACTTTTAGGCATAGAAATGAATTTTAAACTTGAAAATAAATTTTAGGCTTTAAAATAGATTTTAGAATTAAAAGTAATACTTCAGGCTTAAAAGTGAAATTTGTTGCTCAAAATTAACGTTTAGACTTAAAAATGAAATTTTAGGCTTAATTCTTAAAAATAACTATATTGCAACCCCCTAAAAATTAAAAATCTGTGAAAATCCCAACCCACACCCGCTCCTCTTCCCAGTCGCATTTAATATTGAAGATAAAGAAAACAAAACATCTAAACAAACGACTACCGGGGACACAAAATAACTCAAAATAACGAGATGCTCGGATGGGCAAGTACCATCAAGATGAGAAAAAGCCAAAATCACGCAATATTTGTGCACAATACATGCTTTTAGGCAGACTTTTGGAAGAGTGGAAAACGTAAAAAAAGGCTGCAAAAATAAGTTTTTGGTAGGGTAAGAGACCCTACTCTACCCTAGCCTTCCCTACCCAACCGTACCCTATCTTACCCTACCATACCCTATCCTATCCCACCCTACCCTATTCTACCCTACAATACCCTACTTTACCCTACCCTAC